ATGCCAGGACCGGCGGTTTCTGCAGAACTACGGCAGCCGCCTGTCTGCACACACTGTGCAAAGGCGGGGTCCGGAGCTGAAGCAAAGGAGAAACAAACAATTGTATTAAACACCTCGAGGGGGGCGGGAGGTGCGGGCCGTTGTTCGCTGAGCGCCACTGTATTCACCGTTATTGAACATCAATATTACAGTAACACGGTGAAGCCTCAGTCTCATTGCACAGGGTGCTATAGACACTCACAGCAAATGACCGGGCACAATTTCCAAAAGCATCCAAGAGGACGAATGATGAAAGGCATTTAGACACCTCCAGGGGAGGAGAGATGCCCAATGGGATTTTCAAAAGCAGTTACAGGCATCTGTAGGCACCAAAGGCCTGATTTTCAGTGGAGCTTTGGAACCCAAAGCCAACGTGACTTTTCACAAGAGGACGCAGGTTCCTCGATCTCTTCAGTGCTTTGGAAAACATTCCCAAAAGGACAAGACACACTTATCAAGTCATCCCCAGAGGGATTTACACCCTTGCTTGCCTACTGATTTCATTAGCTCCTGGGGAATCTTCAGAGAAGAGGTGGATTGTGAGAGGTTCTGTCCTACAAAGTCACCGGCAGACAGAAAAAGGCTGAGAGTCACTGACTCAGGAGATCCGTGTTGTGCACAATTTATTTCAGTCCCAGGACCATGATGGCTGGAAGAGTCACGTTGTTCCGCTAAATGCTGTCATTCAGTCTTGTTTTGTTACTTACGGAACACTGCCTTCTGGGCCTTGAATAAGGACTTTATACGTGGTGGGGCAATATGTTTTGAAGAGGTTTTCCACTAAGGTGTTACTTCCTGCAACCACACGTTTGTGTTTCCAGTTCTTGTAGTTCCACAGATGCAGAGAATAGGAGTTGTTGAAGTCGACGCTTTTCTCCCAGACCTGGAAGTACCGATTCCATTGTACGTAGGGGATGGGGTAGTAACGCTGAGGATGTAAGTAAGAAATGTTCTGACAGTTTATATCCGTAACCACTTTATGGAAATTGGTTACGGGGCACAACGCCTTGAGCCTCCTTGTCAGTAACCTGGGCCCTTGGTAGCCCCAAATACGTCCTCTGTAATTTTGAACAAAATCCTCCATGCAATCCCAGATGAACTTGTGATGGCGAGAAAAGCCAAAAATCGCATTGCCGGCCAACTGGAAATCCTCGGCCGTGAGGAAGTTTGCTACTGGAACAGGCCTGATGGAGATGACATCAGTGTCCATGTAAATCCCACCATATTTCCAGATGAGCGCAAGCCTGATACCATCTGCGCTGACATGCAGCCAGTACCTCTCCCGGGCTGGATTTACCTGCAGAGTTGGAAAGGGATCACAGAGATGCAATTGACTCCACTTCGAAACATCTCAACTCCTGCTCCTGTTAGCTATATACTGTACAAAACTCCCAGACGTGTCTGTCCTAACTGTAATCCCTTTGTCAATGACTGGCTGTTTTTCTTGTTCAGGTGTGACACGGCGCTGGAAAAAGGCAAGAGCAGATGTAACTTTTGTTCAGTGTCATTGTACGAGTGTGTCCCAGGCACAGGAAACCCCAAGGAAATACCCAAGAATTATAACATAAAGAGAATCTGAATCATAATAACATAACAACGGCTACACTGGGTCACATTAAGTATCTAGCCCAGGATCCTGTCTTCAGACAGTGGCCAGTGCCAGGTGCTCATGGGGGAATGAACAGAAGAGGCAACCATCAAGTCATCCCTCCCCTGTCATCCATTTCCATCTTCTGGCCGACAGAATGTAGGGACACTATTCCTGCCCATACTGGCCGATAGCCATTGAGGAACTTAATTTCCATGATTTTATTTAGTTCTTTTTTGAACCCTGTTATAGACTTGGCCTTCAAACATCCTTTGCCTAAAAATACAGGTTGACCATGCACTGCGTGAAGAAACACTTCCTTTTGTTTGTTTTAAACCTTATGCCAGTTTTCATTTGATGACCACTTGTCCTTGTATAATTAGGAGTAAATATCAACTTTGTCTACAGCAGTCACAACGGCTACGTCTAGACTGCAAGCCTCTTTCAAAAGAGGCTTTTTCGAAAGAATAAAAAGCCTCTTTTGAAAGAGAGCATGGAGACTACCAGCAGATTTTTCCAAAAAGCACAGTTTGCATGCAATAGCGTCTTTTTTTGAAAGAGTACTTTCGAAAAAAAGGCGTTATTCCTCGTAAAATGAGGTTTACCGCGATCGAAAAAACTGCCGTGTTCTTTCAATTTACGTTAGAAAGAACATGACTGCAGTCTAGATGGAGGTGAAGTTTTTTCGAAAAAACCCTGTAGTCTAGACACACCCTACTTTACAGACCTCAGCCATATCTCCCTATAGTGGTCTCTTTCCCAAGCTGAAAAGTATCAGTTTCTTCTCATACAGAATCTGTTCCTTACCTGTTATCGTTTTTGTTGCACTTTTCTATACAATTGCAATATCTCTTTACACTGATGCAGCAACCACATTCCCATGCCATACTCAGCATGGATTTATTTATTTTCTGCCTTTCTACCACTTTCCAAATGATTCCCAACATTCTGTTTCATTTTTCGACTGCCGCTGCACCTTGAGCAAATGTTTTTAGAGAACTTTCCATAATGACTCCAAGATCTCACTCTTGAGTGGTAACAGCTAATTTAGCCCCCATCATTTTACTTGTGTAATTGGGATTATGTTTGGTAAGGTGCATTATTTTGCATCTCCCAACATTGAATTTCATCTGCCATTTTGTTGCCTAGTCACCCAGTTTTGAGGGATCCTTTTGGAGGATTTGTCTGGGACTTAACTATTTTCAGTAGTTTGGGATCAGCTGCAGAGTTTCCTGTCTCACTGTTGCCATGACTTTCCAGAACATTTATGACTCTGTTGACTAGGTTTGGTCCCAGAAGAGACTTTTGTGGGACACCAGTATTTACCTCTCTCTATTCTGAAAAGTGACTTCTTGTTTCTACCTTTTAATTCCTATCTTTTAACCAATTATCAGTCCATGAGGAGTCCTTTCCTTTTCTTCCATGACCACTAACTGTGCATAAGAGCTTTTGGTGAGGGACCTTGTCAAAGGCTTTCTGGAAATGTAAGTACAGGCAGTCCCCGGGTTACATGGATCCGACTTACATCGGATCCCTACTTACAAACGGGGTGAGGCAACCCCGCACTAGCTGCTTCCCCCCAGCAGACCAGGGAGACGCGAAGCTAGCGCCCCCCTCAGCAGACCAGGGAGACGTGGAGCGGCTTTTCTCAGCAGACACCTCATCTTGAGAATAAAGGACTGAGGGAAGTGAGGTGTGGGAGAATAAAACTGAGCTCTGGAGAAATGTTTGGCTAGAGTTTCCCCTACAGTATGTACCAGTTCCGACTTACATACAAATTCAACTTAAGAACAAACCTACAGTCCCTATCTTGTACGTAACCTGGGGACTGCCTGTACACTGGATCACCCTTGTTCACGAGATTGTTGGCCACACAACGAATTCTAATAGGTTGATGATGCATGATTTCCCTTTACAAAAAATATGTTGACTTATCCCCAATAAATTATGTTCATCTACATGTCTGGATATATTGTCTTTCACTATAATTTCAACCAGACAGCTGGGTACTGACGTCAGGTTTATCGGCCTGTAATTGCTGGGGCCAGCTCTGGAACCCTTTTTAAAAATGTGTGTCACATTAGCTATCCGCCAGTCATCCAGTCATTTGGTAGAGAAGTTGAATTAAAGGATAGGTTGCAAAGTACAACGAGGAGTCCTATGGCACCTATAAAAGTAACAGATTTACATGGGCATACGCTTTTGTGGGCAAATCTTCACTTTGTCGGATGCATCGTCTTTGCCCGTGAACGCTTATGACCAAATAAATGTCTTAATCTTTAAGGTGCCAAAGGGCTCCTCGTGCGTTTTTCCAGTGTAGACTAACATGGCCATCCCTCTGACACTACCGTTAGTAGTTCTGCATATTCATATTTGAGTTCCTTCAGAACTCTGGGGTGAATACCGTCCGGTGACTTATCACATCTTGTTCCAGAGCTTCCTTTAATGGCACCTCAATCTAGACCAGCGCCTCAGATTTGTCACCTAGAATAAGTGATTCGGGTTTGTGAAATTCCTTCACACTGTCAATCATGAAGATTGATGCCAAGAGCTAATGTATTTTCTCTGCAAAAGCCTTATCGCTCTTGAGTGCTCCTTTAGCATCTTGATCGTCCAGTGTCCCCACTGGTTGATTAGTAGGCTTCTTGCTTCTCGTGTCCTTTTCGCAATTATTCCTTGAGACAGGCCTGGGCAAAATACGGCCCGCAGACCGGATCCAGCCCGCTGAGGCTGCAGGGCTCCATTTCTGTTTTGAAGCTGCGGGGAAGGGGAGAAGTTTTAGGAACTGCTCTTCCCCAAGCACATTCCCATTGGCCAGTTTCTGGCAGAAACTAGCCAATGCGAGCCATTTGTTAGAATAACAGGCAGCTAAGAAGAATCACGCCCCCACTTCTGGGTAAAGATTGGAGCTCTCTGCTCAAATTGACCTCTGAATTTCTCTCTTGCTTCTAAATCTTGTACCCAGACATTTTTGTGGCAGTCAGACACCTTCACCAAGCCCTAAAACCATGTTTCTCCAGCAGTAAATCCTCACTTTAAATTCATGCTGACTGAAATTTTTCAAATACAACACTTGAATCGATCTCTTGCCTTTTTGGAAAAGGGGGTGATTCACCATTTGGAGAAAATAGGATTGGGAACATTATGATAGGAATAGTCTATTTGCCATGACTCCTGCCATCAGGAACTGTGCAATGTCCATAACAATTTCAATCAATATTTTGACTAATACACGGCAAAGTGTCATAAAAAAGGAGTCCACACTGGGTGCAGCAAAATGACAACAGCTTCAAAACTTGAATAAAAATGTTCCAAGCCCTTCATTTCCCTCCATTTCTACTTTGAATTTTAATCAATAATATTTCCCCCTTAATAGTTCCTCTCACCTTGCAATACCATGGGAGCAGAGGGGTCTCGTAGAAAATAGTTTTCATCGGGAGAGGCAGAAAGAAGACGTTCTCCATGGCAGATAGAAGAGCCAAGGCTGTGGAAGTGGAATTTAAATCGCGCCACATGTTACTGTTCAGCCCTTTCATGAAGAAACGAACGGGTCTGTCTGGGTAGGCCCTGGCAGCAGATTCCACAGAACACGAAGCCAACGGAGAAGGCTCAAGACGGTCTGTGGTCTCCACAAAGATGATGCCGCTGCTCCGTTTCACGTCATCCTCCTGCATCAGGTACGGCTCAGGACTTAGCTCGCATGAGAAGTTGTAGTCAGGGGACCAGAAAAGTTTACAGACAAAGAAAAGGGCAAAGACAAAAGTGATCCAGAGCCCTATTTTGCTTTTCTTCATCATTCTTCCTTGTCTTTGTCTCCCAGCGATAATGAAAGAACTGCTGAAACTGACTTTGTTTGCTTTGGTTAAGACTCTTCTGTCAAATACAACAAGACAGGATTTCAAATGGTGTTATTGCTCTGGATTATTTCTGGTGTAGATTAAAAATCAGGTTTTCAAATTTATATTGGATTTTTTCATTTAAAAACATTCTCAATAAAATACTAAATTTTGTATTTCAAAGTAACAGTTACAAATACATCTCATCACAAACATGCTGCACATACACTTACAACCTCATGAAACATGAATGACTGGCGCTATTCTGCCCAGCTTAACTATCAGCTCTTGGTTCTTGCGAGGTCTCGGCTTGCAATTTCTGTTTCTCAGCAGACTGCAGTAAAACACATGCAGGGTGGGTCGGATTGTTTTGTTCTGTGCTTACATGCTGGCTGATTTTGGCTAAGCAGGGCAGAGGAGTTAGTTAGTTAAGACATTGTCTTACCGACAGAGAGACAAATATAGAAAAAAGGGCTGAGGCAGCATAGAAAGGAACCGTGGAGTGGACAGGAAAGAAAAAGGGAAAACTTTCCCCCCAACATCCAGGCAGCCTGTGGAGTTCATTGCCGGGGACGTGCACAGGCCAGAGGCAGAGCTGGGCTCACAAAAGAATTAGGTCGGTTCCGGGCGGGCAGGTTCCTCACTGGCTGTTGGCCAGGAGGGCCCGGAGGGGAGCCCCGTGCTCGGAGGCGCAGGGACACGCGGGCTGCCCCAAGCCGGGATGGGATGACAGGACCCCTCAGCGTTGCCTTGTTCTGCTCCTGCCTTCCAACGCACCTGGCACCACCAAGGCGGGGTCCCAGGACGCTCCACTCACCTCTTGTCTGGTGCCTCCCGCCGCTCAGCCTGGGGGTTAGCTGGTCAGGCCCCCCTCTCCTCCACGGTTTGTTCACTGCCGCTCCCTCCGTCCCGTCCTCTCTCTCGCTCTGCCCTGCAGCCCCTCGCCCACTGCGGAACCAAATCTCCTCTGTTCCCTGCCCGCCAGCCCAGTCCCTCAGGGCTCCCCCTG